AGGATGAAGATGAAGAAGAAGAGGAGAAGAAGAAGAAGAGAAGAAGAAGAGGAAGAAGAAGAAGAGGAGAAGAAGAGGATGAAGAAGAGAAGAGAAGAATGAAGAAGAAGAAGAAGAAGAAGAGAGAAGAAGAAGAGAGGATGAAGAAGAAGAGATAAGAAGAAAAAAGAGAAGGATGAGAAGAGAGAGGATGAAGAAGAAGAGATGAAGAGATGATGAAGAAGAAGAGGAGAGGATGAATGAAGAAGGAGAGATGAGATGAAGAAGAGAGAGGAAGAAGATGAGAAGAAGAAGAGAGAGAAGAAGAAGAAGAAGAGAAGAAGAGAAAGAAGAGGATGAGAAGAAGAGGAGGATGAAGAAGAAGAAGGGAGAAGGATGAAAAAGAAGAGGATGAAGAAGAGGATGAAGAGAAGAAGAGGATGAGAAGAAAGGATGATGAGAGAGAAGAAGAAGAGGATGATGAAGAGAGAAGAGGATGATGAAGAAGAAGAAGAGGATGATGAAGAAGAAAGGGGAAGAAGAGAAGAAGAAGTAGAGGATGAAGAAGAAGAAGAAGAAGAAGAGGATGAAGAAGAAGAAGAGGATGAAGAAGAGGAGGATGAAGAAGAGAGAAGAGGATGAAGAAGAAGAGGAGGATGAAGAAGTAGAAGAAGAGGATGAAGAAGAAGAAGAGGAGAAGAGAAGAAGAAGAAGAGGATGAAGAAGAAGAGAGAGAGGAGAAGAAGAAGAGGAGGAAGAAGAAGAAGAAGAGGAGGATGAAGAAGAAGAAGAGAGGATGAAGATGAAGAAGAAGAGGATGAAGATGAAGAAGAAGAGGAGGAGAAGATGAAGAAGAGATGATGAAGAAGAGGAGAAGAAGAGGATGAAGAAGAAGAAGAGGAGGAAGAAGAAGAAGAAGAGGAAGAAGAAGAGGATGAGGAAGAAGAGGATGAAGATGAAGAAGAGGATGAAGATGAAGAAGAGGAAGAAGAGAAGAAGAAGAAGAAGAAGAAGATGAAGAAGAAGAAGAAGAAGAAGAAGAGGAAGAAGAAGAGGATGATGAAGAAGAAGAATTCCAGTCCGGCAAAAAGTGTCCCTGCAGAGAGCTCCGCTATTTCTTTGACAGTGCTTTGACATTGATAGCAGCTGCAACAATGTATCTATTTGTTTCCGAATAAAAACATCTGTATCCGAAATGGATACAAATAGATACATTGTTGCAGCCGCTATAAATGTCAAAGCACTGTCAAAGAAATAGCGGAGCTCTCTGCAGGGACACTTTTTGCCGGCTGTAGATGGGATGAAAATCGGCCGATTTTTTTTTTTACCATTCCTGGTAACGTCGGCCGCTTGAACGACCGATTTTTTCGTTTTTTTTAAAGAATTGGCCGGTTTTCTCCCCATCTATGGCCTGCATTAGAAGCTGAAACAAGTGCATTCTCTTAGAGACCTAAGATCACATCACTTCCTTCTTCTTGCTCAGACTCAGCTGCATTGAACAGACAAGAAGCACATGGCAGGACAGCCATGACCATAAGGTTGACACATCTTTATAACTTCTGTTTTTATATTTTTGTTTTACCTACACTGAACTGTTATTCATGATACATTTTACATTGTTATTTTAAGTCATTGTGTGATCAAATAAAACAATGCTTTATTTTTATTTCGCAGGCTCTTCAATTATCCAAAATTGCCTATAGACACTAAAGAATTATTACATGTGTCTCAGAAAATTTTACACAGCCCAAAAAATGTTAACTGGAATTTTACGGTGTTCTGTCATATTTCACTGCCATATCAAGACTGCAGATATTTTTGGTCTTGGTTGATAATAGGTTAAACACTGTTTTATCTGGAGACTGGTTAAAGTGAAACTCCACTTTTGTGGAAAAAATAGCAAATAAAAAAATATAGTCTATATACAATTGCTACTCAAGCCATAGTGTAAGTGAATGTTATTAAAGTGGAGCTCCACCCAAAAGGGAAAGTTCCCCTGCTCCCCAGAGACAGTGTGTGTATTACAAGGGAATGGAGAGGTGCATGGTTGCACTGTGCTGTCCAGGACAGTACAAGCACAGGCCTTGAGCCTAAAAAAGAGAGAGACAGAGCAGAAGGGAACTTCAGGAAAGACACAGAGCTGACAGGTACAGCGGCTTGCGCATGAGCACTGAGATGTGTTTGATGGTCAGGAGGATTAAAGTACTAAGCTTGAGCAGTACTGCTGCAAAGAGAGTCAGGGGGCTGAATACTATTTTTCATTTTAATGATGAAAACCCCTGCGTGGGCAACTGATGTCTTGTACTGAACTTTTTCTTTGCCAATTCAAATAAAAGTAGGGAGAAAAAGCCCTGAAAAGACATTTCTGGCATGAAGAAAACTCACCAATATGCAATACCCTTCAGTTAAACAACCCCCAAGTTGTCATAATATGTAAACCCAACATTTTATATTCCTGATACATAGCTGCTGTACCACGTACTTGTATGAAAAAGTATCCTGTTTTTTTGCATTGCTTCCTTTGTATGAAATCACTGGTGTTCCCCCCAGTCCCTCTGCTTTCTTATTAAAATCTGACTACACTAAGCAGGAGAGCACTGTGTGGTCAGTTTTCTGGCTGTGCTGGGAACTGCTCTCCTCCAATGATCAAACTTGTCCTAACACACACACCCCCCCTCTACATAGTATTTCACTGGGAAGATCAGTGTACTGCTGTTTCTCTACCCTGAGCTCCTTATGCTCAGAACAGAAGGAATGTGATCACTTATAAAAATACCTTTATAATGTTTTTTATATTGATACACAAATGTTTTGCCTTTCATTTCTATATTAAACTGAATAGGCTGTTTTAGACGGCGATAGTTTACATATACTTTAATGCTTTTCCTACATTAGGGCAAAAAGTTTTCAAGTAATTGTATCACTCCCTTCCTCCCTATATAATTACCTGAGTCCTATCTCGATCCTAAACTGTGCCTATCTGCAGCAGCGCTAGTCTCCATATTTTCCTCACAGGACACAGAGGCAGCAGGGGGAATCATTGGCTCCTGCTGCTGTCAATCAAATCTTATGAGGAGGGACCGAGCCATGCTGTGTGTGTCTATGAATGCACACAGCAGGGTTTAGAAGCGCACTTGCACATGTGTCCCCATAGCACACAGCTTGCTATAGGTGTACACACAAAAGAGAAGGCATCAAGAGCCCCCATGGTTGACCCAGAAGAGGAGGTTTGCGGCTGCACTGTGCAATACCATTGCACAGAGCAGGTAAGTATACCATGTTTTTTATTTTAGGGAAAAATTAACCTTTTACAGCCACTCTAATTAGTTTTTTTGAAATAGTAAGCAATTCTCTGCTTTATTATAAACTATTGCACTTACGTCACTTTATCTGTGAGACTTCTTTTCTTTTCTTGATGCCAAATGCTTCATTTTTTTTTTTAAAAAAGTAAAATAAAATTAATAACAAATACATATATTATGAGTATTATTTTTTTTTTACTCACCTGTTTTCTCCTAAAAATCTGGAACAGCCCAGGGCTTTTTACAACTTCCCTGTTATACTTCCCTGCACTGTGTTATGGTTTTGTACAGAGCCCTTTTTCTCCAACTTGCTCAGTTCCTGACTTCCTCTTCCATAGCCTGCTGTGTTCCTGGCTCCCTATACTGCACCCTGTCCAGTTTCCAACCTCCGCTTTCCAAGCCTGCTGTGTTCCTGGCTGCCTATACTGCACCCTGTCCAGTTTCCAACCTCCGCTCTCCAAGCCTGCTGTGTTCCTGGCTGCCTATACTGCACCCTGTCCAGTTTCCAACCTCCGCTCTCCAAGCCTGCTGTGTTCCTGGCTGCCTATACTGCACCCTGTCCAGTTTCCAACCTCCGCTCTCCAAGCCTTCTGTGTTCCTAGCTGCCTATACTGCACCCTGTCCAGTTTCCAACCTCCGCTCTCCAAGCCTGCTGTGTTCCTGGCTGTAGCTCTGCAACCTGCTCCCTTCCAACAGCCAGCTCCATTCATAGCCTTTTCAACCCTGACCTTCTCCATGCCAGTCTATATCTTCCACAGCCTGCACAGTTGCCTATGTTGAAGCATGCTCTTTTTCTGGCTGCATACACTGTAGGATGCTCTATTCCGATCATTCTCTCATCCAGACTGCTCCTTTCTTTGCAGCCTGCTCGGTTCCTTGCAGTCCTCTCCGTAGCACCTTTCCTAATTTCATCTTCAAATATCCTGATCATTTTCTGATTACTGTCTCCATTTCTGGTGGCTTTTCACTGCTTTTTGTCCACTCCTCCCCTCACCTGCACTGTTTCTGGCTACCACAATCTCACGCTGTTCATTTTTTTCTTGCCTACTGTCCCAATTGCCTTCCCCTCAATTAGCCTGCACCAGTCCTGGCTACCTCACCCACAGCATGCTCCGTTCCTGACCATCTCTTCCTCACCCTGCTCTATTCTTGAACCCTTCATCTCTTAGCTTGATCCATTCCCCATTGTTTCTGCTGTGGTCTACCCTGTTCCTGGCTGCCTCTTCCACAGCTTTCTCCTTTCACTGCACCTACCCCTAGGCTCTTCTGATCCATTCTACCTCACTTAGCCTGCTCCATTCCCGGCCAGCTCTTCTATACTGCGTTCCTGCCTCTCCTGCAGTTTGCTCTTTTCTTGTCTGCCCCTTCCCCGTCCTTCTCCTTTCCCTGCCCTATCTTTCACAGCTTGTTCAGTTCCTGGATCAGTTTTCCCCACCATGCTCACTTCCCCTCCTCCTCTTCTGGTATTGACTACATATCATGTGCCCTTCTCTTTTCTTGTCCCCCACCATGCCTGCTCCTTTTGTTGGTCTCTCTCTATGCCACTCTGCCCATTTCCGGGCTTCCTCTACACCAGCCTCATCTTCTGCTCTCCACACCTCTTCAGCCCTGCTCAGTTCAGTTCATAACTGCCTCACCTAAAGTGTTAGTAAACCCACAACAGTAAAATCAGTCTGTATATGCAGTAAAGCATGCTTGTTATACTCACTGTGGGACATAAGGGGTTAATCCTTTGCATTGTGCAAAAAGGCTGTTTAATTCTCTCTTCTCTGATCCTCCCCTTCTTCCATTGTCCCCTAAATATCTCCTGATAGAATAGAGGTTTGGAGTCACTCTGCACATGCTCAGTTTGGTGTGTATTGCTAGACAGTTTTTTTTCTTGGGAGAGTGCATGTGATTAGCATAGGGCCAATCATCACTGGTCAGACAGAGAGTCAGGGGTCCTGCATCCTCCTAGAGGAGAATGAAAACTCCTTCTACAAGCTGTAACCAGTGCTCTGCTGGACGCTGATAGAAGTCACAAGACTGCTCTAACTGCTGATGAGAAAAGGTATTGATCAGTTTTATATATACTAAAATAATTACATTTCCATGTTGTGTGTACTGTGCGAGACCAGACAGAGTGAATGCAGGGTCCTGGGTTTAGTGACACTTTAAGCTTGCTAATTTCATGGCTACCTCTCCTGCAGTAGCTGCCTCCTTACCCTCTCTTCCACAGCCTGCGCCCTGATTGCCTCTCTTCTTATTCTACGCAGTTTCTGACTGATCATCCTGCAGCCAACAATGCTCACTGCATCTTTTCCCTCCATAATGTCCATGCTTGTCTACATCTCCCTTAGTCTTTTCCGTTCTCTTTTGTCTTTATCCCTTCCTCCCCGCTTGGCTCTTTTCATAATTGTCTCTCCCTCTTTCCTAGCTGCATCTCCCCCATGTTGCCCTTTTCCAAGCCACCTCTCATCCATCCTGTCATGTTCTGCCTTCTTCATGTTCAGCCTGTTCTTTTCCTGACTGCAGCTCCTGTCCTCTGACCCACTATCAGCTACATCTCCCAAGTCTGCTCCTCTCCTGACTGTCTAACTTTCCTGCTTGAACAATGGCATAATTTTCCTTTCCTGGCTGCCTCTTTACTAGTTTCATTACCTTTCAGAACCTTTCTCATTTTCTCATTTTCCCCACCACATCTCACTCTATTTAGTCCTTTTTCTTCTCCTTTCCCCAAGCCTGGTCAATTCATGGTTGCTTCTGTTCTGCCTTTCCTCACCAAATTGACTTGAGCCTGTTTTCTTCAATTGATTTATTTATTTCAGGTACGTATATAGTGCCATCAATTTATGCAGCACTTTACATATATATTATACATTCACATCAGTCCCTAACCCTCAAGGGGCGTACAGTCTAAGGCCTCTAACTCACATTCATACATACACATACTAGGGCCAATTTAGACGGAGCCAATTAACCTACCAGCATGTCTTTGGAGTATGGGAGGAAAACTGGAGAACCTGGAGGAAACCCATGCAGAAACAGGGAGAACATGCAAACTCCAGGCAGGTGTGCCATGGTTGGGATTTGAACCGATGACCCTAATACTGCCAGGTAGAAGTACTAACCATTTAGCCACTGTGCTGCCTGCAATTTCTTTTTCTCCTACAGCCTGCTCCTTTTATTGCCCCCTCTTCATGAGCTTTTACGCAGGCAGATCTATTAACAGCTGCCTCTCATTCAACTAGATAGGTTCATGTTCAGCTGCCTGCACGATTCATTTATGGTTGCCTTTTTTCCAGCTTTATCCATTCTTGAATGTCTATCCCAGTCTTCTTCCTTTCTTGCCTGCTGTCAAGCTGCCTGCTTCCATCTTGGTCATCTCTCTATTCAGCTTTTTCTTTTACTAACTTCCTTTTCTTTAGACTTCTGCAATCCTGACTGTGACGGGAGTGACGTTTGGGGGTGGGGGGACCCCTGTATCAGCTCCCCATATTCTTATGTCTAAGGCACCCTGTGCCTGTTAGGGGTACAGGGTGAAATGTTCTAATATTGGTGTGAGGATTGTTCCTTGTTCTCTGCCATGCGGCTGCATCCCATTGTTAAACTATTATGGGATGTAATGTTTGTGTATTGGTGTGGGGGTTGTCCATTGTTTACTGCCATGTGGTCCCATTGTACTATTATGTGTTTCTGTATTGACTTGGTGGGGGGTGTTTCCAGCAGCCCTCCTGATGGGACTATCTGTTGGGATGTGTCTCTGTTTGCTAAATTTGTTTTGTCCCGCCCTGTGTCCTTATCCAGGGAGGTGGGTTGTTTCCCTCCAATGTTTATATCTTGTGTCTGTGTAAAAATAAATCAGTTGACTTCCTGTCTTAAGAAGAGTCTGGTGCTGTCTATTTCCTGTATGGTCAGGGTGGTGTCCGTGGATTTGTGTTCGGATAGGGAAGCTGGAGTCTAATGGAAATACCCAAGTGCAGTCTGGGTCCGGTTCCGTTACACTGACCATCTCTTCACAATAATGCCTAGATCCCGTCCACCTATGTTTAAATTGTTCCATTCCTGATAATCTACCTCTGTCAGATCATTAGCCACAAACACACATCAGCAGCGTTCAGGGATAGTTACTATGAATAGCTTTATAAATAAAGTATGAATTGGTTTGAAGGTAAATACATTTATATATACAAATGTCAATGATTTTCAGTCACCGCGCTCCACTCTGCCCCTCCAGGACTCACTGGTGCACCAGGCTGGGATGGGAGCGAGCACAACTGGCTTTCAGTTCTTAGCTAGGGTGTTGAGAGCTGGTGCCAGCTATCAGTCAGGCAGCCGGTTAGATCCCAACAATATTCCAACAATATAGTTGGGATCCTTCCAGAGCATTGAACACAATGATCCGCTGTAAGCAAAAATAAGTATACTCCTGTGACCCAGAAGAGAAGTATGGACAAAAAAGCTTTGGCCATACCTCTCTTCTAATGTTTATTTCTGGGTATTTGTTTTTCATTTCAATAAAAAAAAATGTCTACTTATTTGTTTAACTGGTAAAAAATAATACAAAACAATATGAAAAGAGGAATGGAATTTATATAATTTACATATGAAAGTGTCCCACGTCCCCCCTCCTTTGCATAAATATAAAAATAGCTCAATGCTACTCAATAGCGGGAAAGCATGACTTATATGGAACGCTTATTTCTAATTATTTCAATCTTTCCTTTTTTTTTTGCATTATTACTTTTTTTTTTTAATAGAATGATTTCCAAATGTATTTTTAAGTATTTTGCACACACATCAGGAAAAAAGAGGCTTTATGTGAATGTTGTTCTTCATCTTTTCCCACATAATATTGATACGAACAAAACATGTTTTCCTGTAATAAAGTAGATGACAAAACTTAACTACTTGCCTACTGGGCACTTCAACCCCTTTTCTGCCCAGGCAAATTTTCAGCTGTCAGCGCTGTCGCATTTTGAATGACAATTGGACTATCATGCAACACTGTACCCATGTGAAATTTTTATCATTTTTTTTTCACACGTATAGAGGTTTCTTTTGGTGGTATTTAGTCACTGCTGGGTGTTTTATTTTTTGCGCTATAAACAAAAAAGAGCAAAAATTTTAAAGAAAAAAAGTTTTTCTTTGTTTCTATTATAAAATTTAGCAAACAGGTGATTTTTTCTCCTTCACTGATGTGCGTTGATGAGGCTTTACTGATAGGCAGTACTGACGGGCACTGATAGGTGGCACTGATGGGCACTGATAGGTGGCACGGATAGGCAGCACTGATGGGCACTGATAGGCAGCACTGATAGGCAGCACTGATGAGCTGGCACTGATGAAGCGGCACTGATGATGCTGCACTGACATGCAACAATGATGGGCACTGATAGGCGGCAGTGATTGGCGGCACTGATGGGTGGCACTGACTGACGGCACGGACTTGCAGCACTGCTGGGCACTGAATGGTGGCACTGCTGGGCACTGATGGGTGGCACTGCTGGGCACAGGTGGGTGGCACCGCTGGGCACTGAGCATCAGGGTACTGATCATCAGTGCTCTGATGATCGGTGCCGATCCGTTCTCTGACAACTTTCCACATGCTGTGACAGCATTTGCATTGCATGTTCCAGTGATCAATGTGTCATTGGACACAGCTGATCATGTGGTAAAAGGCCCTTTTACCACATCACGCGATCAGCTGTGTCCATAGGACACAGCGATCACGGAGATCGCCGGGTGCGTGCCCCTGGGGGCGCGCGGGAGGGCACATTCTGGAAGGACATCATATGACGCCCTCCCAGAACTAGACAACCGCACTGTAGCCGTCATTTGGCTATAACGCGGTTGGCAAGTGATTTTTAAAGCTGAACTCCATCTTTTGTTCCACTTTGCATAGTTTGTTTGGGCCAAGCTGGCCCATATAAACTATGTCCCTCACTAACATGTGAGGCCGCTGGATGTGCTGTATAAACTGTATGCAGAGACTTTCCTGTCTGAGACCTGGAACACAACAGAGTCTGCCAGAGAGACGGTCAGCCATTCATAGAAAGTGATGTATTCTATCAATGATTACAAAGCTACCTCTGGTTGAGTCGGAGAGGCGGGCTGATGATGTCACAACCTTTGACTCAGCCAATGAGAGAAAGCTTTGTATTCATTGATAGAATACATTGCTTTCTCTGGAGGCTGAACCTCCCTCTAGCAGACACTATTGTGTTACGGGTCTGAGACAGGAAGGTCTTGGCTTGCACGGGAACATCGTGCTGTATGTAGCCAGCTCGGCCCAAACAAACTATGTAAAGTGGAACAAAAGATGCAGCTTTAAGCAGAATTTTCACAGGAAATTTTGGATGACAAGTTTGGAAATAAGTTTTGAATATGTTCTTCACATTTTACTCCTGATAGCTATTATGTTTAAAAAAAAACATATAATCTGAAACCAGATGCAGTTCCAGTAATTCTACCAGAGGACACCTCTATTACAAAACTGGTTTCACAAGACTTTTTTGGAAAGATTTGTCAAGCATAGAAGAATTAGAAGAAAATTGTTGTAATTGTATGTCATGTTAGGGAGCTCTACAAAAAAAAGATATAGAAACACAAACCAGTGAGATAGATTTAATCATTTAATTATCATCATCAATTTAAGCTTTTACATATATATTGCACATTCACATCAGTACCTGCCCTCAAGGAGCTTACAGTCTAAGGTCCCTGGCTTTTGTATATGCATTTTTTCATAGAGAAGATATACAGCTGTTATGCAAGCTATAAAGATGTAGCCTTAGATCATGGCTACACATCAAATGATCAAGCTTCAACAGAAACAAATTTAATTTCAACACCTGACAGATCACTAAATTCAATATGTGATCTAGACTGTGATATTATACAAATAAATCTTTTTCAAATGCTTAATATATTTCATTTGAGAAATATCCTAGTGCAGGGGTCTGCAACCTTTAAGACATAAAGAGCCACTTGGACCCGTTTCCGGAGGGAAAAAAAGACTGGGAGCCGCAAAACCATTGCAACATTTAAAACAAATCCGACACTGCATATATTGCAAAAAACGCTCTGGTCATGAAGGGGGTTTAAGGGCCCAGT